TGACGCGACGCCGACCGACGGCAACCGACGCCGATCAACACGAGCGACGACGCTCCGATGTAACTGCTTGTTTACAAACATCAACAACGAGTCTTTCGTATCGTTCCAACGATTCGACACGTCGTTCAACCGCGAAACGCAGTTTAGCAATTGTTACAACGGTGACCGCTGGAAATCGAACAGACCGATTGAAATTATTACTAGAATAAACGAAGATGTCTTCCACCGAAGCACAAGTACAGCTCGTTCCGAGGCGCGCCGACGCAGCCTTTTCTATTCTTCTAACGGCAACGATCATAATTCACCGACAAATCCGATCAATCCGGTGCCAGGAACCAGTTAAATTCCGAGTGAACGCGGACCGCCGACAAGTTTGTCAGATTTACGAGCGCCGGTGGTTAACTCGCGCTACTTGGGGCGGTTAAACAGTGCGGCGAGCGGGAATTCCTCCGAGTCGCTCGCGAATATGCGCGACCGACCCAAAAAATTTATCGACGCGTGCTGTTCGATAAAACCGGTGCCGTTTGAATGACAAGCGAGCTCAATGACGCGCGAGGCGTCCGGGCCAGTGTCGCGCACCGCTCTCCACGCGTCATTAACCATTCGCGCGCCGATGAATTTCATTTTTCCGCTATCCGGTGTTGCGGACACGATTCCGAATCCATTACCGAGACGCTCCACGACCTAGAACCAAGACCTCCGAATACCTTCGACCCTCGAAACGTTCGCGCCGGCGTTGTAACTTACGCGCTCGCCCATCTGGCGGAGAAATTTTGAAAATATTTCGAATTATTCGAATTATTCATGAGGAGATTCGTTTCCAAGCGCACGGCGGTTTCGTCTATCCACCGAAACGAATCGAGACGACGTTGCGGAAGCGGATGGAAAACGGAAGATCGATGAACGATCGTTCGCGCGGCCGTTAAAAGGACGAGGCTAATTTCGAGGAGGATCCAGGCTCGATGCGCGCGCGACCGCCGCTCGGCCAGCCGCGGCCACCCCGACCGCATTCGATATAAACACACTCGTCCGGTAATATATCTCATTAAGGCCTCATTGATCCACCTCTCGATAAATTTATCCGGTAGTTTCGGATGATATGCGAACCCGATAAAAACCCGATCGCAGTTGGTTTATTACCGTGGATTCGTTCGCTCGATCAATCCCCGGGAAAGTGAATCGAATCGGTCGACTGTTCCGATTAAAACGCGATCGATTAACAGAGAACTAATTAGTTCCTTCCAGTTTTTCGTTTGTCCCGAAGCGTCGTTAATATCCGGCTCGCAATTTAATCATTCGGTCCTCGGTTACGCGTTCGACCCCAAGAAGTAAGGGTGGGTTTTATCGTTCGGGGCCGAAGTGGACCAAGCGGAGCGCGATAATCAAAGGAAAAAATAAAAAGTGTAGCAAACCGGGCAAACGATGAGGTAGATGATAAAGGAGAAGAAGAAAGTAAGGAAAAGGAAAAATAAGGGGAATAATCGGTTCTCGAAAGTTGCGCGATGTCCCCTCGCAGCCTCCGACGTAACGTTTACCCCAACGATGAATCGCGGAAAAATCGTCGAGTTTATCGAGGCGGCTCGCGAAAGCAACGGCGACACGCGCCGATGCAAATTCCCCGCGATCTCGGCTCGTGTATCGAGATGTGAGTCACGGCTGTAATCTTTCGCATAGTAAATTATCCGCCAATATCAACGAGAGATCAGATACTGCCGGCATTATCTGTTACGGGCCGCGGGGAGGGACGCGCGCGACGCGGAACGTGCAGCCTGCGCGGAGAGGCGAGGAATTTTGGGGGCGAGCGATTGCTCGTCGGCGGGAGGGGCAGATCGACGCTACGGTGTAAGGGCTTTGCGCAGTTATAAATGCGGTTTTGTATCTGGCTTTACAGGACAAAGTAATGGGCTTAGATAATCCTGATTTAATAAATCGAACAGTTGCGAGAGAGGTAAGGCCGCAGGGGGACGGCGCGCGTTGGGGCGGCGCTCGCAACGGCCGCGTGACTAATGCGTTCAAAAACAAGACGGATGACTCGCCGGGAAGATCTTCCGCCGCATTTACATTTCACCACTATATTTCTCCGCGGGAAAAATCCCGAAAATGCCGATCCAAATCTCGCGTATTAGCCGACTCGGGCTCCGGCACGGTTTTTTCGCCCCGGGATTTCCCCGCTCAGCTGCGAGGACTTTTACGGGGGTCGCCGCTCTTTTTTCCTTCGCACGCCGAGCTCGCGGTTCCTCGATTATTAACATCGGCGTCGCCGATCGGATTCACCCTTCGCCGACTCGTTCGAGAGACGAGAAAGCCACTCTTTCGGTTTCGCGGGGGTCGGAGCTTTATCACGCGGGAACAACCCGATTCGAGTCGATCGTGAAATCTCCAAGTGACTCATCCGGTGTTCGGGTAATGAAACTTTTCTGTTCCGTCACCGTCGAAACTTGATTTAACGCGATTTCGTCGAATCGTAGATGTATTATCGAAACGTGCGTGGTGCGGTCGGAAGGGAAGAGATTTCTTCGGTTACAGCGAAGGACGAAACGCGGACGAAACGCGCACCGCCGGATCCATTTTAATCGGACGTTCTAATGTTAACGTTCAATTTGAGGGCATGTAATGCGCGGAGATTTTAATGGGTTATTATCGGGTACTTGCGTCACGTTTTGGCCCCATTACGGTCTATTAAATTAGAGGTAATTCCTGGTTAAACAGCGCGCCGCCATAGCGTTATCCGAAAATCAATTCTTACGACGGACGGCGCGGCGTGGCGCGGCGCGCGCGGGGAATCGCCGCCACTTCCGGCACGAGAGGGGGTGGGGCAGGACGAATCGCCGCGAAATCATTTATCGTTAAATCTTCCCGTACGCTTTCGACCGTCAACATTGTCCGCCGGCCAATAAATACGGGATTGCCCGTCGCCGAGCGTTTTATTCGTCGCGATCGCTCGCTAACTGGCGGGAAAGATTTTAATGAACCCCGACGCCGGCGGAAACGCGGCGAGCACCGGGGATAAAGATGTCGGAACTGTTGCTCGGACGTAAAGCGCGTCCCTTGAAGGACGCCTCGCGATCCTTCGGTCGTAAATGAAAATCGAATTTCCGATCCCGGGAACGAGGCGGGACTTTCAATCGGTGAATCCGGTGTCACGCCGTCTTCGCGGACCGCCGATAAAAATTTATCCTCGCCCGTTCCGGTTCCAGCTTTCTTTTTCATTTCGGCCCCCGCCCCGTCCCTTCTCTCCACCTTTTTCTCGGTCTCTTTTATTGCGGCCGCCGATAAAACGGCCGATCGATCGGCCGCGATCAACATATTGCGCGGCGAACGAATTATTGAGTAGAGACTGCCCGGGGGATAGGTATTTCTCTCCTCGGATCTCGGGTACGAGTGCTACCCGCGTCGAGATTTCCCCGAAAGATCCGTGTAGCGGGTCCTATCAATCGCTGGCAACAGATATCTCAAAGGGACGAACAAACTATTAGCCTATCGGGGCTTTCGGCGGGTGCTTATCAACGCTCTCGTTATCCTCGATAATGGACCCTTTGCTCGAAGGGAAATCGACGAACGCTCGACTAGCCGTTAACTAGGAAAAACTAGGAATTCTCAGGAAAAGCGAAACGTTACGAACGATTCTATCGGTCGTACGGTATCGCGAAAACGAACAAGCCCGACGCTGTACAGGCCGAAGTCGCGCGACGCGAAGAGACGGAGAACGCTCGGCAAGGAAACGCGCGCCAACGGTGTCCCTCCTAAGTAGGTTAACGCGGCCGATAAATTTCCCGATTAACCGGGGCTCTCTAAATGAATCCCCGGGAAAAGGGGAAAAAAGGAGAACCGCGAATTTGCATAAACATCCGTGGCCCCGGTTTATCGCGATTTACATTTCGCGTCCGGTCTTGTTTCGCGGACGGTCGCCTCCGCCGGTGTAACCTTGAAATTGGACCGAACTTATTATCCGACCGAATGAAAACGGAACCGAGGGACGGGGGAAGGAGGAGCAACAGCGGCGAAGGGGGGAGCGAGGCCGAGGCGAGAAGGAAGGCGGTCGGAGAGAGGAGCGCGACTTAAGGTGGTACATCTATAAAGCTCGAAATACGCGGGCAGGAGTCTGTGTCCCCGCAACAATGTATTTAATTAACGTAACGGGCGCCGGGGGAGCGGCGGGACTCGAGCGTAGCGATTGCACCCGCAAACCACCCTCTATCCGTGCTAGGCGCCGCGTGACCCCACTAAACTCCACCCCCGCCGCGGCCGTCGCCGCCACCGACGCCGCCGAGGCCGCCGACGCCGCCGCCACCCCTCTTTTCTCGCCAATCCGCAGGCTTGTTCAATGGCCGCCAAGTCGAGAGCTTAAATTAAAGATACAAGCGCATCCCGTTGTGCCAGCCAGCGTGCGCGGCAGCGCTGCCGCGCGGCCGCTCGCCCGTCCGCCCGCGGAGGCGGTAAACGAATTAAAAAGTAAACGGCCGGCCGTAAAAGTTAATAGCTGTTCGGATGAAAATTAAAACACTCGGGGAATTAAGATAACGGAGAGAAAGGAAGCCAGACAATCTGGAGAGATTGACTGTGCTCCGAGCCGGGCGGACTGCTGCCGGGGTTAGCTCTCCGGCTCAGCGCGAAACGTCGATTCCTCTTCAAACCGCCGCCCCCGGCGTCCCCCGGGCCACCCCCACTCGCGCTACGCCTTCGTTAGCCCCGCGGACTTGGAAAGAACGGACGGGAAAAAGGGTTGTTACGGTTCTTTGCTAGGAAATCCGTGCGACCCGAACGTTCCGCGGAAATCCGCCCCGTCGCGAGCGGATTTTCCCTCGGTTTCTCTTGGATTCTAACCTTTTCTATAATTATAATTCACCCTGTTCGTCGAATTCATCTCCATTCGCATTTCCGCGCTGTCGCGACGAACGCGAACGATTGGAACGATGATTCCGACGAACGCACAGCCGGTTGATATCGATTCCCGGCGAGGAACGTCAGAACGGATACCGACGGTGGATTTCTTGTTTCAGGTGTGGTTCCAAAACAGGAGGACAAAATGGCGGAAAAAGCACGCGGCCGAGATGGCGACGGCGAAAAGGCGGCAAGAAGAGGTGGAGGGTGTCGTGGGCGAAGGCGAGGACGGCTGCAGCGACGCGGAGGGCGACGGGAACAGCGAGACCGCCGCGAAGAGGCTCAGAAGGGAGCTCGAGCAACAATACAGGCATTAAACAGTGTAAAAACGCGGGACCGATATTAACGATATTCACGATATTCGCGCGAGAGACGTTCGGTGGGTAGACGCGTATCGATGAAATGGAACGAAATCGAGGATCGCTCTGCGAGGACCGATTTCCCAGCGGCCGACGAAGCAAGTTCAGCTCGAAACGATCGCTCGATTCGACTGTCGTCGATCTCTGCGATCGTCGCAACTCCCGGCGACTCTTTCGAGCTGGATCCGTCGCGGGGTCGACGAAGAAGCTTCTCCGAAGATTCGCTAAGATTCACGAGCTTAGTTTTTAACGACAGATCAAAGTTCCGTTGAGCCAACGCTCGCAGAATTTTTACTTGGTTGCCTGTGTTCCGAGATGGCGCGAAGCAGGTTTCCGGTGTTCGTAAGAAACGACCGTCGTCTGTATATATTTGTACCGAGGTATCGTTGACTCGGCGACCGGCGATCTGTCCCGAGTACGCGAGAAACGACGACCGAATCGATTCGGATCGCGAGTGTCCGACGAACCGTTTCAAGGCAAGCGAGCAACCCTTTCCCCGTGCACTTGGACAGTTTGAACGGCTCGTAATCGAATCCAGCGATCAAGCGCCCCAGCGAATACCGTTTTCGTGAATCTAGTCAGACTTGTAAATAATAACAGAAAACGGAGCCTTGCCTTGAAATCCCGCCGACGCGACGCGACGATTCGTCGGACACCGTGCACAGCTGACAGTGCGTGCGCAGCGAACGCGAGCTGACCGTCGAGGAAGATGGTGGACATATTATTCGAACGCGACGAAGACGCGGTGCGAGAGAGCGAGCGATAAACTCGATGGAAAATACCGAGAATAAACGAACGTATCCCAACGTGCTTCGAACGAAACGATGTTAACCCATTTTGCCTAGTTTCACTGGTAGCGTTCTCCTTAACACGGGTACAGATTTTCAAAAAGCTTACACGCATTATTCTTTGAGGATGTTGCGACACGGAGAAAACATTTGTTCGAAATATTCAACGAAAATCGCGGATGCGTCGGAATGGGTTAAGATAATTCCATCGGTGACAAATGAGCTTTTCAGGCCGGGGATCGTTCGGTTGCGGCTGTACGATTGAATTAATCAACGAGTTGTTCACGCTGCCCGTGAAATGAAGTTATCTCCCGAATTCGAGTAATCACTCGCGGCGTGTGCGCGTTCCGTTAATTTCGTAATTTCGTTTTTGGAACAATATTTGCCCGGGTCCGCGGCAGCAAACGCGCGCGACGCTTTGTCCATCCGCGTCCCAGTGAATCGAGCCGATGGACAAACGGATTTTGTATATTCTGTAGATACGATAAACGTGAATGTGATATTTAACATATTTAGTAAGAATCCGATGTAGGCGCAATCGGGCGGCGGCGAAGCGAGCCGAGCGAGCCAACCGAAACGCGAAACGGAAACGAACGGCGCTGAACGCGATCTTTCTTTTTCCTTCGATTACGGTTCGATCTATGATTTTGTAAGTAGACGACACGCCCTGAGGACAATTGAGAAAACGAGCGAGAAAGGACTTTTGTAAATATTCGAGTTGAACGCGTCGAATGCCGTTCCCAATCGACCGAAACGATTAGCCCGCAGAATTTGTTCGATTAAACGATCAGTGTCCGACCGGAATATTATTCGACAACTTGTGTCTGTATCAGAACCGATGTAACATAGAAACGACTTTTCGCATCGCGTGTGCAATCACGCGTACCTCGACGTACGAAATCGTTCGGCATTCGACGCGCCGAGTTGCGTTTCGAGGGAGAAGGGTCGGGACCAAAGTTCTCCCGCCAGCAGGGATCTTTTTCGATTGATCGCGACGCCACAGCGCCGACGATTGATTTCCTCGGAAAGAAATCGGAAGGTTGCCCGGTGAAACTGTTTCGTTCGGCGAAGAATCGCTTCGACCGATTCGGAGGTTGGCTCGGCCGCTTCCGCGCCGGCCGAGTAGGTAACACCCCTATTGTTTTAAAGAAAACGACGAGAGGAACCGCAAGACGAACCGCCAACAAATAGGAACGTAGACGTACGCGTAGAAATACGTATAATCGGACGAGCACTCGGGGATCGACGTTTCCCCTCCCGTTCTTCCGGAAGTGCGTCCTCGGAAGCCACGTACATATAGCTCAGTTACATACTCGAGTATCCCGACATCGCTGTACAGTATTTAGGTAAAATCGCTAAGCGGAGGATAGAGACAATCTGTATAAAGTATTGTATAAATTATACATACGTGTTATCTATCGCTTGTGTATTATATCTCGAATTTAATAAATGGAACACATACTACGGTAATTATCAAGACAGCCTGCGTGTCCTTTATTCCGGAACACCCTGTGGAGATCCTGCGTTTCCCTCGATTCGACGGATGCTCGCGGAAACATTACCGTTTCTCCAGTTACTCGTACACTTTCGAAACGCCGGTTCGAGTTTCCAATTTCAGTTCGAGTCTCTTTTTCGAGGGAACATTCTAGACGACTTTCAACGTTGATTTCCTTTCGTCCGTCCAATCGCGAGTGTAGTACTCATCGGCGGCGAACGGGTTCGACGATTCGATTTTGTTATTCGCGATCGGAACGGTGCTCCGAAAAGTTGGCCTCGCGTTAACGTTATTTTAATGTTCTCCGGTGTTAATAGATATTGTTGGTGCGGGTAGATAAATCAGAAATGAAAATTACCAGGACTGCCGGGTCCATTGATATATAACGACACCGGAGGGTCGTAATGATCGGTGCAGTGGTCATCAATCACCAGCGAGAAGACACTCGCGTCGCGCGGTTTTTGGCACGCGGACCGACGATAAACTTCTGCATTGTGTTGTCGCAGTTTAAATACGTTTCAACGGGTAATGCGAATTTTTCTTCGAAAGCAAGACGAATCACGATTTCGTACAAGGACGTTTCGATGAAATATCGCGCTTCGAGCGCTTTCTTCGCGATCGGTGGACGCGGATCCGAGGGGACATCTGAGCATTCTCTCGCGAATCGTTCGTTTCGCAGCCTCTAGAGAACCGCTGTCAGAGTGCACCGCGCGAAGAGTCGAGTCGAGAACTCTTTTATTCGCGAGACAACGCTGGTATCGATTAGACGATTTCTCGAATCCTTCGTTCGCTTATTTCCATACATTTCCACCGCATAAGTGTAGTCGAGCAGGTACATTACTTTAGACGCGAGTCTCCGTCGATCGGACATCGATTCCGACCGTATCTCTCTCGACTCTGCTAGCGCGAGCTTCGCCGAGACAACGCTCGAACGATAAAGCATCGTTTCTATTTCGATTCCACTAGCAATCCCGGTCCTAGCGGAGTTCCCCATGGAAACCAAGCCACGCCGAAACGTCCGCGATCTGTTCGTAGAAGGTCTGTAAAGCGAAGAGTCCGATGAACCTCCGAGAGCGTGGAGAACAGGGGTAAGTTTTCCAAGGGTTCACGCCGGTTCCTCGACGGAGGCCTAATGACTCCAGGGGGCAGAGTTTAAGCGAAGTAACCGGGGAACGTGATAAACCGGTGCAAAAACAATAGAACGGAAGGGCGAACGGGCGGGGGCGTGGGTGGCCGGGCAGGAGGAGGAGGAGGAGGAGGAGTGGTCGGACATTTTCGTAACTGGTATCGATTTCAAATATACGGCACGGTGATTAATGTTACGAGAGTTTTCGTGAGTCATAAAGTTAGCATTGGTAGGTAGCCCGGCAGTCCTTATGCCTGTCGTCGTTCGGGCTCCACCCTCCTCGATCGTCGCGCGGCGCAGGGCGTGCGAGAGAGCGAAGGAAAAGGAGCGAGAGAGAAAGAGAGAGGGATAGAGAGAGAGAGTGTGAGAGAAAGAGGGAGGGAGAGAGAGAGAGAGAGAGATGGAATCCCGAGGCATTGGCAGCGCGAATTTATCGCGGTGTTAAGCCGTTAATATTTGCGCTGGCTGGGCTTTAAATCAATGAAAAATATTCTAATTGGAATATGAAAAAAGTTGGCGCGGACTCGGCCGTGACAGGGGGAAGTGAAACGGGGGAGGAAAGGTCGGACTCTCTGTCTGCCCCGTTACAGAAATAGAATATAAATTGTCTTAACGAGAGCCCGGCAAGAAAAATGGCAAAAAGTTCGGAAGCGCGGAAGCTGGCCGGGGGCGAGATTGCGCGCGCGAAACGAAACGATATCGGGGCTAATAGATTCTCCCCGCGACCAGCTAACTACAAAGCAAGTTTACCAATTTCGCGGGATCGACCGGGAACCGTCGACGTTCGAGGAACGACGCCGCCCGATGCGACGCGACGCGACGCGACGCGACGCGTTCCACCGCTCGCGCCTGTCGCGTCCCATTAATCCCCGCGATCCATTAACATCTCGTGAATGTAACCGTCAAGGAACATGCGCCGACGTACCGCGCTGCTAATTAAGGGGAATCAATTCGACGCGGCCGACTGCTGCCTCGTCCTTGGATCCTTCCGTCGAGAGTGTCTTTTTCCAAGGATTCAACCGTGCTGGACGATCAATGATATCCTCGTGATCCGCGATCGGCGGACTAAGCTAGCCAACCACCGATCGACAACGTTAATAGATCCTTCGGGTTTCCGTCTGGATCGCCAAGCGCCGGATAGAGCAGCCGAGGAACCAAGAAAATCCGCGCGCGCGTTCCCACCGCCGGTCCATCCGAGCGATAAAACCGCGTTTCCCGTGTGTGTCGGGTCGCGAGCGCGCGTTACCGAACGACGAGATACTTCCCGATGAAAAATGACTGCGGGATCCCGAGGAAAGAATCCCGGAGTCACGCCGTTAGGGGAGGAACGCGGCGCGCGATCGGTAACGCGAGGATTTCCGAGAGGTCGCGGCACGCGCGGAGGTAAAACCGCCCCGTTCCCAGGCCCTGGCAGGGCCGCGTTGCAGCGCGGCGGCCGCGATTTCGAGATCGAGCGATCGCGATCCCGTGTCTCTCCGGCAATAATTTCTCTTCGGAAACCGGCCTGACGCGAAATCCCCGGGTTTTACTTCGAACACCGCATTGATTAACTTATCTAATCTAATTTAAATGCGAACCGGCGGGGTGTGAGCCGCTCTCTCTCTCTCTCTCTCTCTCTCTCTCTCTCTCTGTCTCTCTCTCGCTTCCACCTGTTCCCACCCGTTTCCGCTGGCTTTCTCTCGCTTTCTCTCGCCGGGGACGAACGCCCCTCGCGGGGCGGGAGGATCCGGGGAACATTAAGCGCGATAGCGAGCGAGCCGGGCGAGACGAGGAGAAAAATGGGGATTCGAGGGTACGTAAGGGTGGAGAGATCGCCGAGGCGAGTTCGAATCCGAGAAACGAGCAAGACGCCCGACGGATCGGGCAGGGCCAGAGAGAGAACGGGTGCAAGAGATAATGAGGGAAGCGAGGGTGAAACAAAATTAAGCGATCCGGCGTGGGCGGCCGGGTCGTAGCGCCGGTAATACGAACAGGGTGTACCGTGTACTCGAGTAACGCGAGTTAGGGCATACAAACCGCTGTGTAACGTATCAAATCGAGTGCTGAACCCGGGATTAAATCGGCGAGAACGGTACAAGGGTGAACGACACTCGTGGAACCTGGGGGATGAACCGCGCGGGATACGAATTCGGATAACCTTCCTCAAATCGCGCGCGAATCTCGGCGATCTTATTTATTTCTACCTTATGTCGTTCTTTTCCTTTGATTCGGTTCTCTCCGATTTGTCGCGGCAACCGTTGAACGTAGATAGGGAATATTGGGAATCCAGAAGCTTCGAGGGCTATCGATATTGAGTGAAGTCGCTCGAATAGAACGAAATAGTACGTCCTAAAAATGATTTCTGTGTTTAGCGAATAGAGGAATAGACAGGCGCGTGCGCGTTGTCGGGCAAACGTCACGCCTCTTCTTTCAACGAACCGCTTCGGCCGTGGATCGGCCGAATAATTTCATTCGGGAATATTCCTCCGGTGGAATAACGGATGATTGACAGTACAATAATAACGGCGATTACGACAATATTGAAGCAGCGGCTGACTTTGTTACGGGCGTAACTAGGGGATTTTCCCCCTGTCCGGGGACACCCTAACCGCCCTTAACTTACTGCATCAGTTTCGCAAATTGAACGACCTTGGCTCCGTATCCATTTCACGCGACCATTCGGAGGGAGGATCTTTAGCGTTGCGTGTTCCAGGTTGTCGCACCTTTTTCATTCGCGTCATTCATTCGAAAATATTCCTTAATATACAGGAACGTCGGAAATCTCACTCGCGTAAACATATGTTGCAATTGGAACTCGGCGTTCATTCTTTTGGAAACAAGTGGCGGCTACTCTGTTCTCTAGAGATTTTACGTATACGTTACTTATCGAGTAACCCTGCTAAACGTGGTCTCCGTCGAACAATCGACGCGACCGTTCGAAAGTAAAGAACATCGTGTTCGAATGGAAACGGGGTAAATCGAGTAAATCGAAGGCGAGAAGAAAGGAGCGCGAGACGCGGCGTCGGTGGAGGGAGGCGGTGGTTCTGACCGTCCACCCCCCGAGCATCGTTTGCCGTTCCTCCCTCCTCTATTTATCATCCGACTACTCGTCTGCTGACTTGTTATTAAATTAATCCTTCGTTTAGTCAAATTGATGCATCGATATCATAGAGCAGTCATAACTCACGGCACCCTTTCCGCCGCGATTAGTGCACACGCAGCGGCCCGTTTTCACGCGCGACCCCTGATCCGAGCAGCAAGGGCCTCTCTCTCCTCCCACACACACACAGATTCTCTCTCTCTCTTTCCCTCTCCTCCTCCACGGCTCGCCGATTCCCTATTTGCGCCGGTCCCGAATCGCGCTATTTATTAACATCGTTGCTTATCGTTCGCGCGATCGCCGACGCAAGGAACAGGACGCGTCCGACAGTAAAATTCACTTTCGTTTTTCCCAGAGACCTTACGAAACACAAAACTACGGCACGTTTCAATGTAGACGAACAACTGCTAGCGTCGAACTATTCTACAAGGGAAATGGAATGGACGTTTAAAAGCAACCCCGAAGAGTCCTCCGGTTGGTATCCGTTTAACGCGAAAATCAACATTTAATTCCGCGAGGCGAGGGAAAAAAGAAATGTTGCGCGGCGCGGCGCGGTGCGACGCACGTAAAGTAATCGAACCGGGGAAAAAGGAACATAAATCCGCAATAACTGGAGCTGTCCGAATGTTTATCGGAACGCGGGATCCGATCAATCATGAAACGACAGGAAACAAATACTGAAATCAGTGAGTCCCCGCGCAATTAGTATACGCGATAGAGACGTTGATGGCGCGGGGAATTTTTTATTTTCCCGTCTCCTCAGGGAAGCGCGCGATCACACAAGGAGGGAGGGCCGGAGGGTGGAAGGAGGTAGCCAGGGGTGCAGAGGGTGCACGTTTTCAATTTGAATACCGATTAATCTGACCGAATAATCTTACCGTATATTCCGTTCTCCTGGTCCTCCGATATTCGTTTCGTT